TAATAAGAGTAATAATAATAATAATGTGGACACAATCTGAAACCTAATCACTCTGGATAATAAGCCAATATTACCAGAATAGGTTTAAGGTGAGAACAAACTGTTTTTGAATACACAAAGTTGGTCTGAATTTTCGTATGGTTAAGGCTTCAATAAACCTTAGTATACGCCCTTTTACACTATTGTACAACAGTACAAAAGCCGAGTTAAGATCGATCTTATGACCTGTTTCAATTATATGTTTAGTAATAGAGGATAATGGATGTTTATCCTCGACTCTTATTGGGTCACTTGATCCTATTTGGTTCTGCAACCATTTTGGTACATGTTCACACACCCTAATTTTGAGATCATAATTGCTCATGATATCACCTTATTTATTTCGCACCTCTATTATCTTCAATTATTGCAACAAAGACATTTTAATCATTATAGTATACTCACATTATAAATCGTTACTAACTTAAGTCTGTTGTTATTATTTACATTACGCAATCTAGTATTATAATCTTTCTATTACATCATCATGGTTATTCCTTGTTCACATGTCCTCAGGGAACTAGTACTTTGACTTCACTTCTATTTGAAGTTTGTGCTGATGATGTCGTTCAGAAGGACGATGAAAGCTCCATGACCAAACCATCCAGCTCAGAGAACAAAACTCCACCAACTTTGACATATGTTTCATATAAGTACAACTGTACAGCTTGATAATAAATTCGCTGAAAAAAGATCCCTTCGCTGAACTTCGTACTTTTGATGTTTAAATGAGAATTATGTCAACTTATCAAATAAAGCGCGATGTATTTAAGTGTGGTAAATAAAGAATTGATTGAAGTTAATCACTGAAATATGATCCAGTTGTTCAATGTTATTGAAGCTACCACGAGACCTAAAAGTGTACACTGTTGAGGAGTATCAAAATAGAAAGGAACATTTCTTCGGTGCTTTATTCTTCTCATTGGTTGTTTACAGTTGCTAAAAACCGCACTACGATATACCATTCCTCATTGTGAATCCTTTATTAAATTAAATACAATAAAATCTTGTTCTGACCTGTAGCGAAATATGGACTCTTGTTTTTAGACGTTTCATCACTCTTCAAATATCAACTTACCTAACATTGATTCTTAGCCTATTTAATATTGTTTAGTGAACTACTAAAATGTTAAAATACTCATACACACTTTTCTGCACCGAACATTTGCTTGAAACGTAACAGTCCAGTTCAAATTAGTGTATGAGTCTTCGGTTTACAATATATTATGTAAGAGCTGATAACTAACGGAAATTCTTTCAACTAATTGGAGACACCAGGACCAAAAAAGTATAATGTTAATCAGACAACTAGTAGCGTAGTCGTTAAAAGTCAGAAACGCCAGACGCAGTATTTTGAAAACACAGTTTGTCTATCCTGTATCCCTAGTAACTTCGATTAAACTTTTTTTTCCATGACTAGTTGATATTGATCAAAACGGTAGTTAAAAAATCTACAAAACAGGCGGATCAAACTGTATACTGTCTGAATTTTTCAAAGATACTCTGCTAAGATAACTGCATAGATTTTCTAGAATGTGTGCTATATCCAACACATTCGCAGTCTGCGTTATAGATGAAGAAATATTTGAAACTTCTAAGAGAAATACATATCAAAAATGAATATCCGCTAAGGTATATTAACGAGAATTTAAAGTTCAGATCTTAAGAATTCGATAACCTGTGTGGTATATAAAATGCTTTACATGAGCATCGACTTCACAGGTGACAAAACTGAAAGTATCTACAAGATGAGCATTTCCAACTCTTACAAAGGAACGTTCTTCCCATCAACCTTGAGGTTAATTATCTCCAGTAAGTAATCTGAAGTATATGATCCTTTACTCATCAATCCATCCGTCTCTTAGGAGCTATATATATCGTTTGGTTAGCGCTCTATCCAATGCACTTCGGAAATATTATTCGGAATAGTTGGAATGACACAGAAATAAATCAACGAGAAGCTCACGAATTGAACACCATGTGGACACGCATTATTCGATAACTGGCTAATCGTTCAAATCACTCATTAGATGAGTAAAAATTTATGAGTAAGCTCTCGTTTCCTTTTATTACGCAAGCTTCCATCTTATATGTAGAGAAACCAAAAAAATGAATACAAGAGGAAGTTATTCAACTTATTCTTCTATGTTGATCTTAGCAAATTGTCTCCGAAACTCATCATCTGCCTCTCCCTTGCGCTGTCGACCTTTAAACGCCTAACCGATTTACTTGTTTGCAAATCCTGCCTGAAAACAGATCTTTTCAATCTCGACATTTTACCTTATCGTATTGTGCAACACATTTTCATAATTATTAATCACCATCTAATTTCTGTGACTTTCTTGATGAATCCTCAGTATCTTAACAACTGCATATTCAGTTTACTAATAAATAGGACATTTTTGTGCTTTTGTTTACTTAGCTTTTCTGTTACTAAGCTGAGTGGATCACTGTCATTAGCAGTAAAAAGATTACTGGTAACCATTATGAAAAAGGACACATTTGGGAATGCATAGCTTCGAGAATGAATTCAATGAGAAGAGAACACTCCGTCAAACCACTTTCTTGTTTTGTGTCTCAATGGGTATATCCTGTTTATTGTTATATACATAAGGTGTAAAAAACTAATTCCCCACTTCATAAATGTAATAAACGCACCGATCATGTCTTCACTGTATTCCAGATGCACGGATCGTATACATATTCCACGTCAAATTACGTTCGGATTTTTAGCACCATTTAATTAACAACAACCAGAGGCGTAATTACGCATAATCGCTCGATCTAGATATTTCTATTTGCCATTCTATAGTCGACAATTTTGAATTACGCGGCGACGTAGATCTATTACCCAAGGCACAAAGATGATATTATGTTAACGTAATAATGAACTACATCCTTGAATCGTTATTTGTAATTCTTATTGAGTACGACATGTTTTTTTTTAACTGTATTACTTTCGTCCTATGTTGTATTATCATTATATTTTAGTAAAATAAATTCTGTAATGTGGTATCAAGACTATACACTACACAAACAAAGATATTCCCATACACATAGTTCCATTTATCATTTTGAAAAGAGAAAGAATAAAGACTCTAGCAGATTAGCATGAATTCATTTTATTTTGTAGGTTCTCCTTAGCTGCTTACAACCGCTGATATTTAAAATTATAATTACACAATGGGTTTAAATTACTTACATGAAAGTGTTTGGTTGGAAGTTATATTGAAGACATATTCGTATAGTATGGCAAGGGTGTAAATAAAATTAATAGACTAAATATTATCAGAAGGGGTCTTGTGGAGATTTTAGAAATTGCGGTAGCTGAAATCATGAGTTAATTGAAGTTAGACCACCATGGAAAACCTGGAAGCACTGGACGGCCGCTTCGTTCTAGTATGGGACTCCTCCCTGGCAATGCGCATCCACGATCTCGTATCCTGCGAGATTCGAACCCAGAGCCGATCAGTCTCGCCGACGACAATAGTGACTGTGGCGCAATTTCGTGGATTGGTTGAAGTTAGACATTAACACCGTTGGATGCCGGCTCAGTGGTCTAATGTTTAAACGCTCGCGCGCGAGACTGATAGTTCCTAGGTTCGAATCTCGCGATCGTGGATGCGCAATGCTGAGGAGTCCTATACTAGGACGAAACGACCGTCTAGTACTTCCAGGTTTTTCATGGTGGTCTGGCTTCAATCGACTCATGATTTCAACTACTGAAAGACTAAATATTGTAAATATATACCTTATGTGAAAGAACACTCTACAACAATGATTGTGATAACAATTCAAACGGCCAGAAACAAGTGATTACATAATGAATAAATATTGATAGGAATATAGTGAGTAGAGCCCAGTTGACGAAATAAGATTATTAATTTGGAAGATAGTTGAAATGAAACTCAATGATTTAATAAATGAGAGGAAGAGTATAAAGAAAAAGAGAAAAATTTTTAAAATGCAGCGAAGGAATAATTGTCACCAAGGCAAAGAAAGTTTATTATTTATTTATTTTAACACATAGATATTGGTACAAGGAGGCACAAAATACATATGCGCCACACAGATCTCATTTGATTTGTGTGAGGGCTGTGATACTGCCCGGGTGCCCAAACGGAAGCAGGTGGTTTTCTTAGGGGACCACACCTGGAACCTTCGACCTGTAGGTCTGTTCCACAAGGTAGTGGAGCATCGTAAGGAGATGCCGTCCCATGGTAGCCGGTGACCAATAATTGGTTCATACGTCATTTGTTCCTGCAGGATACTGGAGCCCATGTGCACCGTTGGTTTGGAATCAGAGGTTTTTAACTCCCCTAGGTGGATCCTCCATATCCACCAACCCGGTTAAATCAATAGACATTCGCTTTTCGTCCTCTCGATTTTGTAAACAACACCCTCGCCACGACAAGGCAGTGAGTGGGAATTCCCTGGCGGATACTATATACGCGTGGCCATATGAGAGCATTACGAGAGTGAGAGCGGACTCTCCCCACTCTCGGTCGTACCATGGCATTTGGGGGCAATCAACAAAAACATATCGGAATCGATTCAATTTATTAGCCAATCAGAAAAATCATGAATACATATAAAATCAAGAATAACATCAAAAAGAGATCTAATCAAGATTGAGGTTGACACAACAGCCTGTCAGTTGTATGTGAAGAAATTCGAATACTTCAAACTTCTACCTAAAGTTTTTGCTGATGATGTTGTTTAAAAGAACAACAAAAGCTCTATGACTAAATCATCCAGTTTAGACAACAAAACTCTATCAAAAAAACATGGATACTTCATATGACAGACTACTGATAAAAGATTTAAAGCATTAAAAAGAAAACTATTTTAGAGAATCCAATCATATTAGCTACAAACTATACATATAACAATGTATAAAAAGTCTGGGGGAAATATGTACAGACTAGTTTGAAAATATATAAAATAATTTACAATTTAAATCATTTTTCACCTTCTAATTCTAATTTCTTCGGATACCACATTGCTTCAGCTAGTTTATGTTGTTCTTTAATCATTGAACGTAGATATTCACGAGCTATGAATAGATCATCTTCACTTAATTTTTCTTTGGCTTCTTTAGAATGTAATAATTTATTATGTGCATGATAAATTTTATCCATTTCATGAATTGTCTGATGTAATAATTCTTGTCCTATTTTAATGACATAATATTGTTTTGATCAGAAATGAAGAAAAAGAAAGAAAGGAGAAAATAAAAGAGATAAAAGAAAATACTGTACTAAATGCAATTTTTTTAATCGTTTTACTGATATTTTGGTGTGAGCTACTTATATCCACATAAGTAGTATATGACGATAGTCAATCGGTTAGTCAATAACAACGTAGAACTTTGTACGTACGTATATCAGTTCGAGTTGTCATACCACATTAGCACAGAGGTGCAGTTGTTGATTCAAATCCTGTAGTGGTAGAGGAAGTAAAAGTATGAGCAGTAATCGGAAACATTAGGGTTTGTAGATAAATTTAGAAAGAGAAAAAAGGGACATGAAGAATTCAGAAGTTTAGAATTCGGGAGGACACAAAGAGTGGATGCATCTGCACCATTATAAACGATTTTAAGCCATGTCATTCAAGGTTTCTAACCATCGGTTACTATCGTCTCGCAGATCCCAACCAGGGTAGTCTACACATACCAACATGGCTTAGTCAACGGTTCAGTGACTTCATGGATTTGTGCCATGTTTTGATCTGGCCACCACAACCTTTCTTCCAATCTACTCCTACACCATGAAACATCGCACGACGGGGCAGTCGTTGGTTGAGTATACGTATCAAATGCCCCAGCCATCTCAACTAATGAAGCTTCACTACTTCATCAATTGATTTGCCATCCTTACCTAGTACCCGTTTCCTAACAACTGCATCACTTACTCGTTGATCCCAGGATATATACGAGCAATTCTTCGAAAACACCTATGATCGAATACTAGCGACCGACGAATAACGATGGTCAGGAATAGAATGTATTTCAGTAGAAGATCGAGAATGAAATAACGGGAACGGAAAGCAATTGGTATGAAAATGCAGGAACAATGAAATCTGAGACGATGTACTGATATTTGTTTAAGTACCGTGTTTTCAAGATACCCCATGAGCAATTAGTGAAACAACGAAATACTCCAGATGCGTGGACGACACATTTATTGTCTGTAACAATAAACAGCATGCAATCCACCTGCTAAAACTTTTCAATAACGCTCACACTAACTTACCTTTTACTATGGAGCACGAACAGAACGACATGTTCCACTTTCTTTATGTTGTCATAAAACGCAGGGGAGACGGGACAGTCCAACGTTCAGTTTATAGAAAAAGTAATTGGAATGGCCTTTACCTAAATTTCAGTAGTTTTAGTTCAATTAGTTACAAGAAGGCATTGGTTAAAACACTATTTTACAGGGTAGAAAATATATGTACGACCGACAAACTGGAAGAAGAATTAATGAACGTAGAAAAATGTCTAAAAGACAACTTTTATCCACAAAAGTTTATTGGCAAATATAGAAAGCCCAAAGAAAACAAGACGGAAATAACTACGGTTAATAAAAAGCCAGTATATATAAATCTTAACTTTAATAGTGATGACGTCGCACAAATTATCAACAAGAGACTGAATACAGCGCTAGCCAGAACTTATCCGGCTGCTAAACTTTTAATTCTCTATAAAATAACATGTTCAATAACCCAATCAAAGGTCGACAAGCATCCCTTTCATGTTACCGCCAACTGTATTTATAAATTTACGTGTACCTGCCAAATCAGCTACATCGACCGAACTGAAGGTAGAGCATATCTTAGATTTTTTGAACATGTTCCAAAAAGTCTTGGAACAAGGGAAAGAAAGACTAAACAGTGCAATCATCAAACATTTCCTTGATATAGGACATCAGTTAGATACCTTGCAATCCTTTAAGGTGATTAGTAAGCAGCCAAACTCCAGTCTTCTGAAGTTTGCTCAAGTCGTTGCCATCAGGCGTCAAAAACCTGACCTATGTGTTCGAAAGGAGACGGTTGTTAATCTTTCCTTGCCCTGGTGACAAATATTCCTTCACTGCACCTTAAATTTTTTTCTTTTGTATTTATTGCATTGTTGATTTTATTTATTTATTTTTCAACTATCTTTCAAATTAATAATCTTTCAACTGAACTCTAATCACTATATTCCTATCAATGTTTATTCATTATGTAATCAATTGTTTCTAACCCACTTTTGAACTGTTGCCACAATTATTGTTGTAGAATATTCTTTCACATTAGGTATATATTTACAATATTCAGTCTATTAATTTCATTTACACCCATGATATACTTTATGAATATATCTTCAATTCAACTTCCAAACAACCCCTCTCATGTAAGCAATTTAAACCCATTATGTAATTATGATTTTTAAATATCACAGGTTGTAAGCAGTTGACGAGAGCCTACGAAATAAAATGAATTCATGCTAATCTGCTAGAATCTTTGTTCTTGCTCTTTCCAAAATGTTAAATTGAGCTATGTGTATGAAATAAGCCTGATTACTTAGATCTTAATTTCATTAGCATGTGTATATGAGTGACCTACCTACAGAACATGTATCTTGAAATGATTTATGTTTTAAATGACACTACTAATCATGTTTATTCATACGATGAATATTTATTAGATACATGTGCAAGAAATATAACCAGAGATTAGAAGCCTATTCTGACGTTGGTTGTTACGTTTATCGAAATCAATTTCGGTTGACAAATATGTCTTGTGAACAGTTATCAATCGGTCACATTGTATCGTTGCATGTCATCTGCCTTATTAGCAGTTTATCTATTTATTTTCATGATGTAAGGCCTGTTCATCATCAGAAAACTTATAACGCTTCTTAATCATATGCATTATATGTATAATACTAATGAGTATCTGTTAATTCGTGGTATTTTTTTGATGCTTATGTTCAGTAGGTTAGTCAAAAATCCGTTCTATATTTTATTAGTTTGCGTAATTAATATTTTTCGGCCATAATTACTCACTTTATTCGCTTTTTGTATACCTTATACGTTCGGTATTTGAAGCTGATTTTATTATGCCTGTTACGATGTGGTAGAAGTGAATCGGTAATGGTTGTTTTGTCTCTACTGTTTATCCTTGATTATTCATACAAGGTCTGTGAAATAAATCTAAGTTGGGTTCCCATGGTTTCCAGTGAAACTCAAAAAAGTCAGGAAATTTGTAAAATAGTGAGCGCTATTTATGGAGATAACTCAATGAAGAAAAAAGCTCTTTCCAGATAGAACAACTGTTTGAATGAGACCCGTGAAAGATACACGAATGATGTAAAGCTAGGACCAACACCGACCTACTACGATGAAAATATTGAACGTATGCCTTCTAGTAAGCAATTAAATGGATATGGAAAGAGCGTAAGCCTTTTGTGGCCCAATACCTGGCTCCAGTTATATCGTATGACGATTTCTATCGAAATATACATCCCGGCAACTTCGTATATAATTATAGACTTCAATCGTGTTAGTGAATAACGGAATTAAATAAGTCAAATACGAGAATGGAGTTCGAATACGTACATTTCGTACAATCTTTGGTTCAGATTGACGATCAGAGAAACGAAGCGCATCGGAATGACGGGCAGTGGAGAAGGTAAGTGAACTAAACGGCTTTAGCAAGCATATAACGATAACATAGCTAAGAAGTTTTACTACTGGAAAAATTGAGGGACAATAAAAACGAATACAGAAAAAGTGTAGTGCGATTATTTTGACAAGGATAAGACTAGTGTACCTTAAAGCTGGTAAGATATAGTTTTTATGACATCCGTTTATTTACTTATCGGAGAAACTACGTACTTGTTGACTGATAAATAATCCAATATCATAATATTTTTGTTCGACGCACATACAAATAACAGTTTTAACTTTCTAATACATATTTGTAGAGGAGTACTTTTTAGAAGGCTGAAAAAGAGACGTTTGGGACCTTTTTAGTAACGATATCAATGAAATCGGTTAATAATAATTATTATTATTATCATAAGAAGACAAAGATGGTGAAACACTGAGTCGCTAAACATCTTCAAATCGAAGAGGCCACATTTCTAAAGAATAGAGTAAAACAGAGCCGATTGTTGAATTGCAGACACGACCTTTCACAACCAGACTAATATCACGAAGGCGCCGAAGATGGCTCTGATTGGAGTAGACCGCTCTGGCTTTCAATATACGTGAATTGATCTCATCACTCACGAAACCACCAGCACTTAAACAGATATAATATAGGGCTTTCAAGATGCTAATAAACCTCTCAGATATACACTTCTTCAACAAACAATCCCAGAGAACAGTCCTGTCCAACGAATCCAAGGCGCCCCTGATGTCAAGAAACACTACGATTGTTGGCCTGTATTAAGTATGACGGTGTTCTAACATTCGGCGAAGGGTGAAAATATGATCAATACATCCACGAACAGGACGAAAACCAGCCTCTCCTCGCCAGTTAATCTTTCTCCAGTTTTGAACAGTCTACGGAATATGGCAGAAGTCAATTATTTGGACGCGATCGGAAGTAGACTTATTCCCCGATGGTTGTTACAGAAACGGCGTGAACCCTTTTTAAAGATATGGACAACTATCGAATCACTCCATGGTGTTGGAACACTCTAGTCGCTAGACCTTTGTAAACAGATCAGTTAATTCCTTAACTAGAAGGTCGCCACCATCTTTAAAATGGGTTGGAGGTAAGTCATCTGGGCCTGGTGATTTGTGGCGCTTCATGAATTGAAATTCCTTGCGGACTTTCGCCTCGTTACGTGAATCAGCCGTCACCAGCCGTGGAGGAAAGGATAGTCTGACTCGTTAACACGCTCCGATCACCAGCTTTCTAGGTCTTTACACAAGGTTTGAATAACTTCATTACGTAACAATCTTTGTTTACCGTCAAACACGTGGTCACCAAGAGAAGACCAACATGCCTTAACGAGGCCATATCAGTACTCCAAAAGGGGTAGCAGTTTCATACACAGCCATGCAGACGGCGGCTGATCGCGATATGATCAATCTGATTCTAGGTTTGGTATGTAGAGGGAGGATACCACGCAACACATCAGAGGTCACTGTCCCGATAGTTAGTGCTAACCAGAAACAGGTAGTCTGCCCAAAGCTGCAGTAAACAGTCACCGTTATCCGACCTACAACCAACAAGTCCCCATAGGCTACACAAACGACCCTCTCCTTTGCCTGGACACCCAACCTGTGCATTCAAATCTCTACTTAGTACTACAATATCTGTTGAGCAGGCTTTCTGGAGATCATTTGACTAGTGGCATGACTCATCTTTGACTGTATCCGAGTTGCAACCTGTCGGAACGTAGGTGGAAATAACGAAAATTCATCGCTACTCATACCTACTTTTTCTGACTTTGAAGGAGCTTTCTAATCTGAAAGCGTATAGTCGACCGTAGATGGGGATCTAATCGATTAGTGGTGCTTCAACTGTAGCGCTTGGTTCGAAGTGACAGATGGAGAGCTAATCTATAGCGCCTCATTAGTCCTGGATATGGGTCTCGGATAGACAGCAGACATCGGCGTCAGAACGTGCTGAAATATGATCAACCCTAGCTGTCGTCCGATCTGTATTTGTGTGGGAACGTTGAGGGGTGCCTGTTTGAATAGCATACGTGGTTTTAGAAAGGCTGATTGGGAATTTGTATTCGACGATGAAATTCAACTTTCGACTATCGTGACTTGAGATCTTTCAAGTTATGATTATCACTGAATCTGTGTACGGGCTAAGATACTACCCGTGTACCCAGGCCGAAGGTGGTCTGCCTAAGAGGATACTCCCGAGCCTTTGACCTAGAGATCTAATCTACAAGGGAGTGGGGAGACGCTAGGAGATGCAATTCCATCGTAGCCGATCGTCAACAATAGGTTTGCACGCCATTCGTTCCCTTGGGATCCACTAGTTTGGAATTAGGGCTTCCCAACTCACTTAAATTGATCTTCCGTATCCACCAGCCCGCTTTAAGAGCCGAACATTAGCTTTTCGTCCTCTTAATTTCGTGAGCGAAACCCCTGCCGTGAGAAGGCAGAGGAGTATGACTTTTTTGGCGGTGGCTATGAACGAGTGGTCGTATGAGAGTACTTCGAGAGGCAGGGAGAGTGGACTCTCTTCACATTCGGCCGTACCAAGGCATTTGGGGACCGTTTAGTAAACGTGACTAAATAAGGTAAAAATATAATATTCAGAATTCTGTTAACATAGTTTTTTATGTTACCTATTGATGAGTACTTTCGACACAAACTAACCTTGAAGCAGGGCTCTTTGACGAGATTCCTGGGTAATAACAGTATTTAATTGTATGGTAAATGTACATTCATTAATTGACTGAACCCTGTTTTCCCCAGAACCATCTTTACATGGATCTAAAAAGGAAATTACTGCCTTCCGAGCAGGAACAAAAAGTTCAGGTCTGCCAGTAAGATCGACGAGAAGATAGTGATTCCCTACATTTGCTCTGTTATGAGAATTGTTTGAGGTTATGTTTTGGTGCATATTATTTTGCAGGATTATATTCGCCACTTGACCAAGTTTTACATTTAGTTCAGGAAGCTATAAAATGGACAGATTACATAGAGGAAGTCAAATAGTAGCATAAAAATAGATTAGATATTTACGTGTAAAATAATCGCAAACTTGTTTATGCCATGTCTACCATGTATTAGTTTGCAGAAGAAATTAAATAGATTATTGTAACTAATTAACGAAAGCAATGAGTCTTGAAGAATTTAGTTATGACTGTTTTATAGTTAGCATCAGTTAAATAGAACTAAGTAACTGATTGTCTATTAGATAATTTGTACATACACATTGATATAATTATCAAGAATTCAGTCTAGCAGTTCAATCACAATTTCATTGCTATATTAGCGATCTACGAAACCTTCAATCTCCTATCACTTATGTTTAAAATTACTTCGAATTATCTTTAATTTTATCGCATTGTACTTTAACGCACTGTTTTACCGGTCAGTTGTGATGCTGTTTTGTTATTATTGCACTTAGAAACCTCTGCTAATATTTCGGTTAAATTAGCACTAAACAACAGAGCATCATTGTTCATCATCAACATCAATAAGGTTTCTGTATCAGTGCTGAGAATTATGTCACTAATATATTCATTTTCTGCTTACTTCATGAGGTCATTATAGTAAATGACTGTTGAATTAAGCGTTTTCATATGACAAGCTAACGGGAATATGATATAAACCCTGTTCTTCTATTAGTATACTTTATGAAAATGAGTAAAGGTTTACATTTTTCTACTTTATTAAAGAATATGATGGAAAAATGACACCACCATATATATAGTAAACTCTTCCTACAAGTGATACCTCTGTAAATATACTATCTAATGGAAAATATATGGGATTTAAAAATATTAAGCGAATAATATCTTATACATGTTGAATGTAAATAACAATATAATAATGTGAACAAAGCAAGAGCAAAAACGTTCGCGGAATACTATGAATTTATTGCATCCCGTCGCCTGATCAGCGACATACGAGCTATGTTTCATTATTACTAATTATTAGCATGATGTTCAATTTGAAAAATGAAGCGTCAATAATGAATAGGTTGTTTGTAACGCAAACGAAAATGGGAATTCAACTTTTTAACGGGCTTTTATAACTGTTTACGGTTACAACCTTAAGCTATTTAAAATATCACTACGCGATAAAAAAACTGGGTTCCTAAAAAATATAGAATGAAAGTGAGGATGTGTAAGTTTAACTCACTAGATTGTGACTACAACTCACTGAAAAAGAAAGGGCAGGTACATTTAATTCGCTTCTATTACCAAAACAGATGAATGCTAACCAATAACTCTTTGAGAATACAAAGGTCAAGCTTAAGCCTTATAACTGCTATAGTCCTCGAGAATCGGACTGGACTATTAACTAATCACTTTGTATAAGTTCATTGCGTCAACCTAATGCCATATGTCCAGCTGCTGATGCGCTATTGAACTAAGAAGGTTATTTTGAGTTTGGAGATGTAGATTCGTTGGAATATTTTGAGCAATACGAGTGAATGCTCACCTTTCTTTGCTTCCATGTACATGTAAAGCGATATATTTAATTGGAAGTGATATGACGGATGGTTTTCTGCTTTTGTTTATACGACTAAGCGGAGTGTGGTTTATGTACGACGTTTTCGTATAATTCTAGTGGCTGGTCGAGTCTATGTAGAATGATGGAGCAACTTACAGTAATTAAATTGTTCCGCTCTGAAAGTGCAAACTAAGGAATATACCTTCAATCAAAAGCGACTGAGAACTAAATTGTGGGTTAATAGGTCAACATTTGTGAACATAGTGGAATCAAATGACCGGATATCTTAAGTTAATATAAAACCATATACTTACCATAATATCGAAAAATATCTGTGGAGTCATTCTTAAACTTAAACGCTGGACTAGGGAGTTTTGAAAACGTGACAAGATATTCTGAAATTCTTTGTTCATTTTATCCTCTTTTACAAGTGATAAAACTTCTGCAGTGATATCACTTCGATCAAATTTTTTAACGTTTTTCACATGTGCCCCTTTAGATTTCCAGCGTATTGTTGGGTGTAAAACCCAATTGTGTGAAAATACTGGATCAAAGATGCTTCCTTTCCAAATCGACGACTGAGAAACTCTGACTAAGGAAGAGCTAACCTTTTGAAGTGACAATAGCCGATTCATGCTTATTGAAATACTTTATTCGATGCAGTCCGGAATTGTAGACGGCGAAATTTATGCAACTCGTTATAGATGAAAACCATACAAATCAATATATCGATGAGCCAACAACAGCAAACTCTGGGAAAAGTAATGAAAACGAATGTGGTAGAATGCCAAACAACAAGTAAGAATGAAGCCTTGTGAAAAACTGTAAGGCTTCGTAAAACAAACTTATATCCAGCATCCAAATTGAATACATATAGACCAACCCAAAACTGTAATCAATCTTAGTCAACTGGGTTGATCTACTGAATGCCACTTGGTTTGCTTCACTTGCATTGTTTATCTATTTGAACACATAAACATTGGTACAAAGTGGCACCAGATACATATGCGTCACACAATAACAATGAGAATGTGAAGAGATAAAGAATGTAAGGTGCGTATAAGAAAAAGGGAAACAATAGCGAACAGAAATTAGTGTAAGATAGTGAAGTAGTAATAATGAGAGAGGCAGTTTAATTAGCAAAAGTACAGCCAGAGAGAATTCTTTTAGTTAAAGTTACGTCCTTTTTTATGAAGTAAAAAATAAAGTTAAAGCAGGATCGCCACTGGCTTCTATTCTGAGCCATGTCTCTAGCCAGTGTTGCACTATCTCTAGGACCCCAACTAGGGAGTTGTGAAGGACCGACAGAAGCCATTCCTGTACGACTTCCATACACTGACCACCTCACCGCCTTTTCCAACCAATCCCAGCGTCGGCAAACGATGCATGACGTGGAATTCTCTGAGACGACATTCGTAGCTGTGCTCGAACACGCAATGCCGAACATCTGTATTAATAACACGGTATTACCGCCAAATATTAGCAATCCTTCGGAGACAACGATGACCAAACACAGAGAGTCGTCTAACATCCACTCGGAGAGGCCAGGTTTCACAAGCATGGAGCAAAACTGCTTTCGCCGATGCGTTGTAGCAAGACCGACATCACGAAGGCGCCAGAGGTGGCTCCGATTGTCGTAGGCTCCTCTGGCTTTCATTATACGTGAATTGATCTCATCACTCACGCAACCACTAGCAGTTACACAGATACCCAGACACACGAACATCTCAACTACTTCTATCCGCTCAATATCCAGAGTGAGTGAAGGTTCAGAGCCCTGCCAGTCTTGTAAAATTACTTTGCGCTTAAAAGGTGCAAAGCACATACCACACCTACGGACACTAATTGCCAACTGATTAAGTGCGGATTGCACGACTTAGGTATGATCGCACAGTAAGACGATATCATCCGCATACTCAAGGTCGAGAAATATTTCTCCAGGCAACAGATCCACACTGCCATTCCCTACATCAATCAGAGCTGTTTCCAGAACGTCGTCGATAGCAAAGTTGAGGAGGAATGGTGAGATTGGGCAAAATTGGCCAACCCCACCGCTTGAATGGATTACATTACAAGTTAATGATTATTCTTGAAAATAAAGGTGTAGCTAAATTGAAAGGAGACATAATATATAGTCTAAAGACAGGAGCTAGATTTCTCAGAATAGTTAACTCCCGAAGTGATGTGATTTTAGAAATGAGTGGTAGTGTTTGATAAGGTACACAACAAACTGGAATTTAGTGAACTACTTTGCTCTATCATGGTATAAAGTTTGTGAGAACGAAATACTTTGATTACAATCGTTCTGTAAGATTAAGTGTTTGTGAGATGTCAATTGCTTTATAATGATACCTGGTGAATAGGCTTTCAACTAAATCAGAAATATAGGACTGAATAACTAAGAAAGCAAATGAGGATCCATTTCAACTACTATTTAGCCCCATTCATATTCTTAAACATTATTCCACGAAAAGTGAACAACTTATACTTAGTAGTTTTCTAGCGTGTAGATATGTACATGGGAAGGTTGCAGTTAATTTTAGCTACTCATCAAAGAATTTACTAAATTTTCGTACTCGTGTTCAATCGAACTAACTGGCTACCGATTCTATAAAAATGATTAAATTCATATCACAGTTCAGTATGGCCACTGATATGTTGGCTTAGTGATCAAGACACATGACTTTAAATTCTATGCTCTAGGTCCTAGCCAAGTTACTACTTAGTTTAGACAGCCTAATGCTATAATAATCTGTCACACGAAAATATGGCCAGCTCGCCAATCTAACCCTGTGTCAATAGTGACAAAGGGAATAAGACGGATCAAAAAACACTTGTATAAAAATTGTTGGCAGAAAAGCTAATATCTGGAGTTTTGTAAGTTGGTCCGCTTTCGGAATTAGTACAAGTTTACTTTGGGGGTGAATCAGATAAGATCAGGCAGAATCCAGATGAAAATAAAGGTCCTTAAATTTGCGTAAACTAAATATAAGTTCCCTCTGTCTGAATGATGAAGAATTATTCGTTTATATAACAACTACAACTAATTTACTTACTATAATTAATTACCACATGAAGGAACAACTCAAAAGAACGCTACCTAGTTCCAAAGAAAAATAACTTAAGAGAACGACAATACGTTCTAAGGGCCTAATAATATATAATATGAAGGTATGACATTTTAAAAATATAATCACCATCAAGTTATGCAGCTAGTGCCGACTTCCTTTTTATTTCGTCTTCTAGAGACATATCACGTCTTACTTGAATGTCGGTATTGTTGCGACTACGAGCGCTACTTAACAGAAGATAAGATTGCTTCTCTGACCCTAGGATTACCTTGAGGAGTCTATATGGTCGGGGTTCGGCATTATCATCGATCCTCTTACATATTCTCATCAATTTTTGCCCCAAATTTTTTGGAGTTATCTGTTACGATGCTATGGATAAGTTTTCCGAGCTTTTCCAAACCATGGGCATGTCTAATTTTGGGATCAGGATCGTTTGACTCTAGCAAATTACTCACAATAATATTCGATGAGAATAAATTTTTCTCAGGCACGCCAGGGTCGAGTTCTGTCTTACTAACAGACTTTGGTAGAGTATTTTGTGACTCAGAATAAAAGTTCACCAATGACTTGCCAACCAAGTGTCTACTGCTTGTAGCTTTTAATACTTTCACTTCCTTTCCTCTGTACTGCCGTCCGTTTCTCACCACTCAGGACAGCCACACTGGGACTATTAGGAACGTTGACCGTTTTATTCGTATCTTCAGTTTTAACTGAAGATCCATGACTACCCATGTTAATATCAAATGACACTTCGCTCCTCGTTAGTCTTAACGGAAATTTCACTTTTCCGTCAATCACAGTCGGGTGTTTAACGCGTCCTGTAACAACACGTACTACATTGACACATTATTTACTGTCAGTAATCGTGTTACCAGCGCAACTACCATCATTCTTCTTACATTCCAAAGCTAATAGGCTCATAGCATGTTAGGCCGTAGCGTTCTCAATCGAATATACGCATTTGTCGCTGAAGGCCAACAATTCAAAATTGGCTGGGTAGAAAAACCATACTATCTGTTCATCTTGATTGCGGAAGTCTATAGTTATCGTATAATTCCCTTATAATATTCAGGATAAACGCGCTAGTTAATGACAGTAGTAATAGAGGAACACGGCGTGAAACATGTTGCTTTTGGACATTGGTGTAGGACACACATTGGGAAAATCATCAAACTACACATCGAGACAAGCCCTATCTTGGAATCCTAAAGAGAAATGGAAAGGCCGAAGACCGAGGGATACACAGCAGCCGGCGGACATCAAAAGGATGAATAGAAACTGGAGACAAGTGGGAAGGATTTATGAATGACCTATTCTCCTCTATGAGGGTTAATCGGCTTAAGTAAATAAGACAAAGACAACGTTTGGTTTGATGCGCCCGGTCGAGAAAGGTTCTGACATCAGCTGCTCACATTGTAGATCACTATTGCAGGTGGTATATTTCGAATGATTGGGAATCTACTCGAGTTAGACGGGAATTGTGTGAACAGTCAGCTAACGTCGAAGTCACACCTCGCAGTTAGCACCTAGCCTAGATTACCCTTTCGTCGTAACAAGGTACTATGGCCGCTTCGATGACCATGCAACACAAACTACTTTATTACAGAAATATGTTGGTGAGATCAGGTACAAGAAAAAGAGTGTAACTTTTGTGCTTGTTGGTATCCCTCGTTCTACTGATAAAAAAACTAGACTAGCAATGAATTCATCTTCATTTTAGCCCGCGGGTGGCACACAGTGGAGCAGGAAGATATCTGTTCAAACTCACAAAGCTTTTCGACATTCAATATAAGATAATAAGGAATATAATGCCTTTAAAAAATAAGGACATGAATGAATATTTCAGCTTCACCTTTTTGGCATATACTTAGTTGTTTAATGTCAACCCTTAATTAGTCAACTTAGGTTGTTACATGACTACTGCTACATGGGCCAGTTCACGACATACAATTAACTGATGTGCGTCGGTCGCCCTTATTCTTGAAGAGGATCGGTGAAATGTTCGACGTTGAGTTACTCAACTGCCGGATGATTTGGCTAGGGCCCAGTGATATTGCATTGACCGTACAACATCGTTGTTGCCGGAATAACCCAAAACAATCCTAGTGAATCATCATTAGATACTCTCAATTTTCATCAAATTACTATGCCTCCAATAACTGTCAACCAGAATACTATATTCAAGGAGGGGTATGATACATTTTTTTAAGCGATAATAGTCTATATTCAGTGTTAGTTGTAGCGGTGAATAAATCCCCAAAATAAATAGCTCTGTAAGTCTTCGACATTGGATGCTGACCACATTAGTTTAAATGGACTTACCCAGTTGAAGGCCTGCAATCATGCATCCGCACCAGATCACGAGTGGGAACGCCATGCTCAACAACCCCTGCAATCGCCAGCCATATTAGGTCAGACGATACTCGATATGTTGATAGCCTATCAAATATATCTGCTAACCTCCTCGCTTCTGTCTTTTGATTTTACTTGTTGGGTACGGTTCATATTAGGTGTTACTGGTTAAAGCGTAATCAAACTTCGAATACCTGTGGCATCTTCATGGC